CTTACACTTTGTTATTAAAAACACATGGAGACTCTAGTATACATCGCTGCTACAAGAATTTTACATTATGATTTTCCTTACTTTCATTCAATGGTTCTATCAACTATTAACATAATTAACTGATAAAAGACGTTTCAAATATCAAATAAATTTCTAGCATATAAATGATTATGCACATATCGACGTAATCATAATTTTATAATATGTAAATATGAACATACCAAATGCATGCAAATGAATAAGTATTAATTTAAATGAGAAAAAAATATTTAAATTAAATAATAAGCTTATTAATAATTATGTTTTTCATATTAAAAAATAATAGCGTCTCCACGGTTTTCAGGTACGGTATTAAAGGCATTTGATCCCTGACTTTTAATGCTTCACCCCGGCATTAAAATTATGTGTATATTTGTATCACGCTAGCGATTGTAGGGCCTCAACAGCAACACACGATGAAACGAATACCGAACGCCAAGGTCTTCAGCTATAGACTGATACTCATTACCTGTGTTATACTTACTTGAGAAATGCCCCCTTTGTTCTTGATATAAGGTCGCTTAATCCTTTATTAACTTTAAATAATGCTTTGATATATAAAAAATTTCCCAATAAATGGGTTGGATATGAAAATTACAAAAAATAAGATATTTTATATATTCAATAAATATAAAATATATTTAATAACAAAAATAACAATTAGCCTCTGGCGCTAATTACACGGAACCTGATATCATTCATTAGAAGATCCCTAAATTATTGCGCCCAGCAAAATTCTTAATTATATATCTTAAATTTCTAAGTAAAATATAGCCTAAAGCGCCGCCAGGGCAGCGAAATAATATGTTTGTAAACATCAAAATTTTACCGTTAACACTTAATTATACTTTCTGATAACAGAGCTAATTCTGATAAAGGATTGATCGCCTAATTTTATTATATTAGTGTCAAAATTATGCAGATATTATGAATTCATATAAACTTTTATAAAACCAACGAGCTATTATAGAACTCCTCAAAGTTATGTTTTAATGTGGATCGGTAAATTACACACTTCATGAAGCTCCATTTAAACGTTTAGGTAACGCTTTAAAAGAGGAGCTGATCACCCTTCCAATTAGTTGGATAATGACGGTGTTCAGTTGGAGTTATTAATTTAATAAATGGGGAGGTCGGATGTCGCGTCAGGTGTGCGGCGGGAGACGGAACGCGTGCCGCAGCGATGACAGGCACGCTTATCATAACACCGTCCCACTGTTACATTAATCCGACAACCACACATTTGACAGAAATTTTTATTACATTATTTTGTTATAATATGAAAACAAAAACTTAATAACGCATTCCTTTGTAATGTAAACCATAACTCTTTCTTCATATAAAACTAAGAATGCACTTAGTAGCTTGCTGCTCGCTAACAACACTCCTCTCAAAGAAAAACTTGTGAATCTCTCACAGATTCCTTTCATTTACTGCTCACAAAGAATCTACATGCTTTAATTTGTATGTCTGGGATGTTTCAATAAAATTAATGTGGATTTACAAGAAACAACCAAGACTTCTTTTATAAAAATTAATTCTCTAATTCATGCCTACAGCTTGCTCTCTGAACGAGTAATTACAGTAAAAGGTCTTGAGCATGAATGTTATGACGGCGTTTATGAAAAGTATTTCAGAGCCTATATAACGAACCATTCACGCTTCCTTTTTCGGCATCTGAATGCTCACCACACAATAAATTTTAGGCCGAAAACATCTTTTATGATATTTTCAGAAGTACCGCCACATTTAAAAAAAAGTTAATGTTGTTTTTCGCACACAATTAAGATTAATTAATCGCAATAAGTATCATCATCAAAGATACTCTTATGATAAATACAGTAGACTTCATAATTCCGTGAATTTTAATTTAAACACGTTTATTTAAGGTAAACGGAGTGAATTAAATGAAGTAAATTAAATATCTTGAATTGTATCAAATGTTTGATATGTTGCGTGGTACGGAGCCTTAACATTTGACATAATGATAATTCGGAGGGAAGAAGTCGAATTTAATAGCAAGTTAAATGATACGTGCCCTGATTGGAAAATGTATGCTTATTCAGGTCGACAAGGCCTCACCCTCCCGGCCTCAGCACGGCTGATTTGAAATGAATGGTAATAATGCTCGAGAATCCCGCTCGCATCGTTTTGTATGATTATTCCAGATTAATTATTTGTTGGAATTTCGTTGGCCAATTTTTCGGAACGAGATTTTCCGCTTTGAGTGACGTTTTAATTTTTAACTCGTCAAGGGGTGATTGAAATATCTTTTATTTAAGCTATATCAATTCGCTCCTCATATGAATCTATATTAACAAAGTCCATATAAGTCCGAAAAAAAATATTTTTTGGATTTTAAAACCTTGTAATTTAAACATCGTTTTTAAAAAAAACAGACACAAAATAGTAGAGAGACTTCTCTCTTTTATGATTAAATAGTTTTTATTTAAGAAAGACGGAATCGTTTCCATTTGATGTTGAATATCAACCCTCTATCACGGTGGACGTTTTGGTCATGATCGATTTATAGAAGCACATTTCCCATATCGGCTTGCATTTCAAAAAGTCAATAGCAGTTTTGCTTTAGAACGTCACACTAGTCCCGAGGGCCGGTTGATGCGAATATCAAATCGCAGCTACCCTCGCTCTGAATAATACTCATCCATTAGAGGGAAAAGCGACACCTCTGTCCATCATGTTTTTTAGTTTCAAGTATATATCAGACATGGTGGTCTTTAAGCAGTATTTTGAGTGCTAAAATGCTTTTAAGTATAGATCAATACCATCAGAAATTTACTCGTTTTTTTTTAAATATATATAGAAAATAAGAAACTGATCCTATATGTGAATGATTCTATAAATATTAATAAAAGTTACCGATATATATTTTATTTATAAACACGTCATGTAAATATAAATTATGATTAAGTGCGTAGAAATAATATCATTATCCAAACTACTTTTCTCATTACCGGCTCATTTCGCTTTGTTTTCCTTTGTTATATAAAATTAATTTCTAACCAAACAACCAAGAGATGGTTTTTGTTTGGCAAATAACCGGTTTGCTGTCGAAGTGGACGTTCCCGGGGGACCTTAGCTGGCATTCTGACGACTGAACTAAGTAGAAAGATAGAACAGAATTAAGCGGCCCAATTATCCCGTATTGGATTTATTGGTAATCTCTGCACGAATGGGCGCGAGGGTGCGAACAAACCAACTTTTGATGATGCTTCCATCGGTATTATGAACAAAGTTGCTGCAATTTTTATATAGGAGGATTTATTGTTTGCCTTCCTCTTGTTTTGCCTCGATTGTTTTCTTCAGATAAAAGAAAATCCTAACGTTTCATTATAAGTAAATCTACCTCCCACTGAAGTATGGATATCGGATCAAGTAACTAATTAAAAATGCCTTTGTGTAACAAAAAAGTGTTTTATATTTACAATGTTTAATACATATTTTATTATTTTAATCTTCTTGAATACTTATCAGATGTAACTGTTTTGTTAATAAATAACTACATGTGTCTCATACTTTATATACATACTTAAAAGATCTTTTAATGTCAGCCTGTTATTAAAAGTAAATTTCTTTTGCAATATTTCATAGTGATTTGAAGGATATCCAATATCACACAGATAAATAAAATTTGGCTATAAAACATCAAAGGGATAAATTTTGCCCTACAACTATAAATATTTTAGAAAAACGAGGGGTCAATCATAAATAAATATCGACAATCGAAATTTTATTGCGTCCATCCCCATTCCGACTGACCTACTACTATCTTTGTATCACTGACTGCCATAAGGGAGGGTCATCTAAAGATTTATAACTCCAACCTTTGGTGACAAAGAGCCAAAACTATGAAAAGCGACGTCCGCTCTATCCCAAATATTCCCGGCCATTCCCGTTATTTGTTATCATAAATTGGAGCGGATCAAAAAACTTATTTTTCTATTTTGCAGGAACATTACTTGTAGATCCAGCCTCTTATATCAAACAAAAAATATTCATCTCTATTAAATAATATTATAGCACTAATTTTGATTCTTAATGAAGTAAGTTATATCTGAAATAGTATTTTGTACAACTAGATTAAGTAAAGTTTTTTATGAATAAACTATATTAGTTAAATATGTGAATATTTTTTTCAAAGCGTCACATTAACAATATCAAGGAAACGTTGATAGTGAAATGGTGTTTGGCTAAAATGTCGAACGTACAAAAGAAATTGATATATTGATATAAAAGCATATTTATGTTCTCGGTGTATTGGTAAAAAAATCTTAGTGATACGTCATAGCCGTCACTCTCAGATATCGCCTCTTGGGTATTGCATAAAAAGTTTTACTACGCAAAATGTTTAAGATATGGAAAAAAACAAGGGACATAAATACACACCATCAACAATGCAGAGAAAACATTGACCAATATATAATATTTGTAATGTAATTATATAGTTTTTTTCTTTGATTTACAATATTTGTAAAAACCTATGAAATATACACTCATTTTAAATCTTTGAGTGTTGTTTGTGTAAGTAAATTCTATTAACCTTAGTTCATGCCTATTAATTAAATATATATCTAACTCGAATATACCACACAGTTAACTAATGCCGTTATTATCTTAGCAGAAAAGAAGATATTTCCCTAATGCCACCGTTAAGCAGGATATATTGATAATTATCAGAGTAAGTCGCAATAAATATTCTGTGCACGGGGCACTACGTTTTTGTATAACGGATTTATTTAGTTTAACGAAAAATATAATAAATTATATCAAACAATATAATGTATTTTTCCAAAAATTTACTTATTAATGCTTTATAATAGAACAATGATAGTCTTAATTATTAAATTGACTTTTGATTTTATTTAACAATAATATGAATAAAGAAAGAATAATACAATGGGTTTATTATTTTGTGATATATCTTACACACATAGCAGGTTCTAAGTGGAAGCAGCTGGTTTGTCTGTACCTCCAGGTGTACTGTTAGGTGGATTTTTAGTGCCGCCTGTATCGGCACCTCCTGTATGTGTACCGTCACTACCTGGTGGGTTATTCGTACCACCCGATACAGTTGTACCATTATGTACCTCTCCCGTTCCACCAGTTCCTGTTTTCCCATCTACTGCTGTTGCTGTCGAATTGCTGTCACCTTTAGGTGTTACTCCAGTAGAATTGTCAGTTACATGAGTTCCATCAGTGGTAGCATTTTCGTTTGTAGGTAAGGTTGCATTACCATCTAGTAATATGTATTCAACGTCTGTATGATTTTTAATTGTTGATGCCCAAACAGGTAATTTTGTTGTTGGAGCACCAAGTTTCCATTTTGTTTTGGTAGCGGTAGCACGAGTTGTATGTTTAGCTTTCCCTTTCTTGTGATAGCATGTACAAAAACAATATCTGTCCGAATAAGCGACGTCAAACCCTAAATCTAAACATTTCTGAATACATATATAGGCCTTTGGGAAATCATTACATTCCGATGTTTTGTTGGAATCCATAACGTAGAGCGGGTTTCAAGGAGTCTAAGATAAGAAATAGATTTAAATCAAGTTATACTTATTTGTAATAAAATATCAAATTATACTAGATACAAATACTTACTGTTATACAATTTACTATCAATCTCCAACTCGGATGGAGAAAATACTAAAATTGAAAATTAATTCAACATTTTATATGAAAGAATTTTTTATACTTTGTGAATTTTATTGATAAACTTACCAACTGTTGATTTCACATCAGCATAAACCAATGATATAAACATAGAAAGTAAAATTCCTGTAGTTATGGTAGCCTCCATTTTAAGAGTGATTAATTATAACGTCGCTTTTAATGTAATTAAATGAAATTACCGGTATAGGACTGTGAAATTTAAGTTCGTAAAAATAAATTAAATAATTTTACTTTTAAATGAAGTGTTGTGTATAATGATAATATTTAATAAAATCATTGGTTATGTTTGTTTAATGTTTCATTATTAATTTAAATATTACAAATGAATATCTGCTTTTCAACATATTATATATTTTCGTTTTGATTTTATTTAACAAGACTGTTTTCTAGAGAGGACAAATGTGAAATCTTAATTCCATTTTAATAAAAAGATAAGAAAAGTTTGCTGGGATTAAATAATCGCAATTTTTTTTAAATTAAACTAATTTTTCTCGGATTACTTTACTATACTTTATTATTTATAAAACTACACACTCCCGACGTTTCTGTTACTTTTCAGCAACCGTGATCACGGGCAGACAAGACGTAGAGTCTTAGATCTCATATATTTTTTAAAACTTCTTAAAAAACTCAACTCCTATATATGTTTAATTTTTTTTTTAATTCATAAACTGTTAGGTTTTTCATCAGTTTTAGTTAGAATCTTCATTATATATAGAAAATAATAAAAATAAAGTTAACTTAATAATTTTTAATATTTAATCTATTTCCTATTTAAGACGTTTCTAAAATTAAAAGATTAAAAATGTATCTTTTAATAAATATTTGTTTTGGTAGCGCAAGCAACAGTCACATGAAATTTTAATGAGGTTAGCTATAATTAAAATAATAGTTTTTCTAAACATCAAAACTAAAATGTAGAAATCCATAGAAGGCTTTCAAACAAACCCACGACGAGCACTTATTCTAAGAAACGGATTATAATGCAATATTAAAAATCATCAAGTATAGAAAAGTGCAAACCAACTAAATAATTCTTTCTTTGGTCTTTCTTATTGTCTCTGTGTTCGTGTTCGTCTCTGTTATGCCTAGGGTTAAAGAGTTTATGGTTGTATAAGAATATTTAAGATTTGAGACTTAAGACGAAGATTTCCATCTATATATATAAATATTTTTTATAATAAACTTAAGAAAAACATAACCTCCTGAGCTTTAGACTTCTACACTAAAATAATTATATAACCTTCAATATACAATATTTTTTACATTTGTGTTCCTCAAAGTCAATATCAAAATAACGACTATTTTATTTCCAATATAATCCAAAACTTTCCTTCGTAAATAATAATTATTATACTTATTGAATAATCTACACCCAAAATATAAAACTGTTTTTATAAACCAGTTCGAAAGTTAAAAAAAAAACACATTTTTTCTGTAATTTATTTTATTCTCATCTATGACGTGCTTTATTTTTTTTTAGACTGTAGATTCTATATATGTACAATTCATTTTTCTTAATACAATATTAAACTCGATTAAGTATTCAAGTTTAAGTAAGTACTTGAGCATAGTATAAAATTATTATTTATATTTTATTAAATATTCACTTATTATAATAATATTATGATTTCAATCTAAATTCTATGCAGTTGTTGTACCTGTAAGATTACCAGTAGAATTTCCTGCATCCGAAACATTTTCAACCACAGTAGTTGCGACTGATGATGGTAATTCTGTCGTTTCGACTGAATCAGTCTCCGTATCATCTGTAGTAGTACTGATCTCCTCGCTACTTCCGGGAGGAGGTGACAAGGTTCCAACAACATGGTAAAGCCCCGGGCTAGCAGTTTTTGGTAATACCTTGGTAGTTCCATTTGTCCTCCACTTGAAAAACGGCAGTATTGTACTCGTTTTCATTTCATGACAGGAACACTTGCAGAAACTATTCAATCTAAATACTTGGTATCCAATACTCTTGCAAACAGTCATACATTTAAAGGTCACGATGTAATTACCGCATTGGTTATGAAAACTGAGACCGTAGTGCTTTCGAAATTCTGTATCTAAATAAAATAATCTGAATTAAATAATATGCAATGCTATAAATTTTATATGGAAACAGTTAAATTATTACAAACCATTTAGCGTATTTATCGTCGCACATATTAAACCTAACATATAATAATTCATGGCAGCCATGCTCATTGTACTCGTAAAACATGAAATGCAATTATGTTTATCTAGTACCTACGTACTTTCTCTTAATTAGATATTTTACTGTTCCACAGTACTAAAAATTTATGAGTGTGACGATGTATATTAATTGTACATGTAATTATTAAGAACATAACAGAATATTAAAGAATATGTTTATAGGCTACTCTCGCAGTATTTAAAATGAATTGACATTACAATTTGCAAAAAAAAAATGCAAAGGACTGTCTACATCAGCAAACAAAAATATTCTTAATTATTCATGTAATGTATCCCGGTCTTCAAATAAACATCCAAAAATATATTCGCCTTCTTTAGATCTGCAGCGATCTAAATTCTAATTAATAAATCAGGAATGTGATAATGGGGGTGCACATCTTAGGCCGTCTAAACTTCTCGGAAACATTCACTCTATGGCCACCCAAATGATGATTTCATTATGTGTATGATTTTGATTGATGTATCAAAAGAAAATTTGCTGGCAGCCGAATTCTTTTCATAACGGACATATTTTCTTTGTTTATTACTTGGAACTAATTGATCCGTGGCGCCACAGTTTTTCAACGCTAAACCATTCGATTGCCGAATTCAGGTTATAAAATTTATGATGTCAACGGGAATTATAAATGAAATGAGAGCAAAATATGTATTTTTTTTTGTCAATACATCAATAAAAACCAAAAAATATTGAATAATTTTAAAACATTTGTATGGAAATGTTTATTAAATATATACAAACTATGTAAGATACCGAACAAAAAAAAAACTTTAACAAATCCACGTAAACTTCAGCTTACAATGACTATTGTAATGATCAACCATTACCAGAGTCTGTTTTTATTTATTTAGGTTTTACTGTAAATTTCTAGAAGATTCCAGAAGAAGACGAAGGTGACAGTGCCCCGCCGTTACTACGACACAAATTGCGATATTTAGCACAGAGCGTGATGAAAAAACTCTTGCTGAATATAAATTAGGGAGGAGCGCTATAATCAATATAAACGATGCTGAAGAAGATTAGAAAAATCCTTTAGAAAAACAAATTTCATGGCTCTAAATGAAATTAACTCAATATATAGTGAATGTTTACTTTAAAGTTTCATAGAACAATGTGTAGAAGAAAGTTAGGTGTGTATATTTTTAAATAGCATATACTCAAAAAAGATAAATAAAGTTTATGTGTGCAAAAAATCTAATACATACAAAGCAAAACATGGATGCGTCATAAAAAAAAAATCTTTTCGTCTGTCAGCGTATCCATAGAACCTCAACGTCCGACGTTAAAGTTATACGACTCTAAAAATCAAGTAAAAAAATGCAAAGGCGAAATTGAATTTGATTCCGATACATAAATTTCACTTAGACTATTCGTCTCTCTTGGATCAAGCGGGAAAATAAGGCATGTTAATTTAATTTGTTCTCAAAGAAAATCACCGGCTTCTTTAATTGTCCTTTCCTTTATATTTACAACTTTTAAAGGTCCGGCTGCCTATACACTTGTAATAAAATCTAATCATAGTTACCGTCTGCCTCAATACAATGCAAACAATGCTTCTGATTAATGACTTTCGAAATGACTTAAAACAACAGTTATAACGCTTTTTAATGCTGTGTTTTACATAAAGATTCTTTTGTGTGTGGTGTTTTATGGTTTTCTGTTCAACCGATTTGTATACGAATGAAAATAGATTACAGCCAGTTTTTCTTGTTATTAGTTATTTGGTTATAAATCATTGCACATCCGTGGCTTTCAATCGTCAAATAAGATCTGAAGACAACAATAGGCTTTGTAGATATTTGTCGTGAATGATATATTTCAGTATTGACTGCTATCATATATACATAGACTTACTATGAATTTTCACTATTTTTAAATGAAAGAATATAAACAAACGTATACTAAATAAGAAAACATACAATGAAAAATTCATCGACACGAACAGGATTAAAACCTAGAACCTCCGTAATATTACCTGCTACAAAAGTGATGCTTTTTCTAATTTTATTTTTATTTAAGGTATAATCTCAATATTGCTTGCCGATAAGAAACATAATTATAACATATTTAATCAAAACTGAAAACTCAAATAAATTCCAATATCTTGATTAAACACGTCAAAGATATTGATCAGCCTCTCTTTAAAGGCTCTGTAACTGAGGTATGAATATGAATCATTTTGACAGGTCGTCCTTCTTACACTATGAACCAATCCGAGTTAATGCTCTGAATTCAAATCTTCCGTATCGCATTAATCCGATGGAGGGTCGTGCCGTAATAAATTCCGTATTATACGCACGACACGCGTATTAAAATAAACATATAAACATGTTACACCCCCACCATGTATACACAAAGGTTATGTGTCATTATGACTCAATGGTATAAAAAATATGTATTAAAAACCATTAAAATATCAATATCATTAGCTCTTATTTGCTCCCTCTTTGTATTTATAGCGTTAATCATAAATATAAAATACTATCTCAATGTTAATACAATTACTTTTATACTATCAAAAACCTATTTAAAAAAGACACTGTCATGGATTTATAAAATATCGCGTACGTGAACAAAAATTGCAAAAATATATTTCCTTATGTAGACATAATTTCCTGTGGATGTACACTAATGCCGCGAGATGGCGTTTTATTATAACAATAGGTAAGTCCCAGCGGAGCTCGAGTCGGGGGCGCAAGTGTATTACATGACACATTGTCAGCAATGTACTCGCTACATCCATTATTTGACACTTCAATTAATAAAGCTAAAATTAATAAAAATGCTAAGTGTTTGCATATTAAAATCGTTTAATAACAGAATGGATAGAGTGAAATTAAATTTTGGGGATTTGATTCGCACATACCTACTTCTTTTAATATTCACGTAATTTTTTTTATTTTAAATATTTTAAAAACATATATATATTTGGAACAAATTCCTATCTTCTGTTCACAAAGAGAGATCAAGTGCACTTAAGTTATAACTGTTTTTTTTTGGTACATAGATAAAAAAAAAATCTATTCTTATTAAATGTATAATATTTTTCATGAATAATAATTAATTTTAATTTTTTTTTATATTACGTATTTTCCCTTTCCAAATTATTGTGTTTAATCAAATATTGTAATAGCGATTCCAAGGCAAGGCAAATCTTGAGAGCCGTTATATCTAAATCCAAAATCTCACTTATAATTTATGATAACTCAGTCCCTTAACGAACGATCATTTTGTAGATAGGTATCTATCAAATTACGCGCCCTCCCTCCGAAAGCTCATTGTTGTCTAACACGGAAAATATTCATTTGAATATTTACTTAACATGGATAATATTTTAATCTTCCCCTTTGAATTATACATTTTCTAACGGAGACAATTTCACGCCTGTTCCGTCCAACGGACGCAAGTCGCTGCTTTATTTCAATCAATTATAACTGACGCTTAGTACTAAAAGGTGTAATTAAAGTCGGAATTCGCATGGAGCGAAGTGCAATATCAATTTAACAAGATATTCCTTTTGTTAATATTCGCACACGCTTTATCAAATTCTCTAGCGGGGGTGACAATAAGCCGCTGTAAGTACTCTCTCTGACATATGGATAAAAGCTTTCATTTCACTCTTAGCTCTTTTGAGTGTGATATAGAATTAGATAATGGATATAAGAAGGTTGAGAAGGTTGAAGGTTGAGAGCTGTTTGTTTAAAGTAATGTGTAAAAGTTTTATATTGTAGAAAAGATTGTTTCATAATATGTAACTGCAATTGTTGTGTTTCTTTCAAGAAAAAGCAGGACATATAACATTACAAAGTAAAAATATTTTTCATCACTCAGATAAAAAACAGTTATACATTTAAATATCAATTATTACAAAGTTAAAAAGAGATATGTATATGTAGCAAAATAAATATAAAATTAAATAAAAACCATCACTTAAAACAAATGGCAACAATGATGTAAAATAATTCACTGAACATTATCAATTCTAAAAATACGTTCATTGCATTCATTTAATAAATTCAAGTTAACAGTAGACTTCGTGCCAAACGGCTTTGTTGTGTCAAATTATATCATAATTCTATTGTGAAAACTGTTAACTGTCTCCTCGACGCCCTCCGGATAAAAATAACTTGAACGGGGTCCTGCCCTCCTCTGTTTAATAACATAATAGCACAATTCCCTCGCCGCATGATTCAATTTGGATTTCCTCCAGCCTCCCTTGCAGTCTAAAAAATGACAACTTCATTATAATCTTCACACTCCCGAAGGGCGACTTGTTTGTACCGAGGATTATAATGATTAATTCTCTTAAATATTAATATATTTTCACGCCCGCTTTGTACACTTGCAGCTGGATTACGGATTTAAATCTTGTTCTTTTTTTATAAGAAAAATATATTTTATAAAATTTAATCACGAGTTTATTTTTTTATGATTTTTTTCTATTTCTTTGAAGCCAATGCACAGAGAGTTCTTCCGGGCCCGTACAAAAACTTCATAGCTCTCCCCGAGGAATTTAATTTGGAGTAATGGAAGTGTTATATTGACTTAACAGGCCAGCACCCCTCAACGTTACAGTTATTAAAATGGAGAAATTTATTATTAGCATTTCACAGTGTCACTATTTATATTTCTAATTTATTTGTTCTGTGATTCCATTAGTCACAATCTAATGCATTCATACATTGATGCTATAAATTTTGGGACAAGGTTGAACTTGGAACAATCAATTGATCCTTGGTAGAAATTAATTATAGGAATAATTTATTAACGTGAATTTAATCTGATCACTAAAGTCAAAAATACCTATTAAATGTTTAATACAAAAATATAATAAATATTCTTAATTGTTAAAAGATAATTTAATACTTAAACTTCCATGAAAATTTGTATAGTAAAAATAATAAATTATTTGATTTTAACTATAAATTTAAAGATTTTTTTCACTCCTATTTATAATTATTTAAAAATGTTGTCACCATACGTGGATGGTACCGAGGGACAATTTTCAAATTTGTATAACAAGAAACGGGAGACGCACTTGCACTGCGACCCCGGGTATATCATTTATAGTCCTTTTGTAGCCGAAATTATATTTACAAAAGTGAGCAGACAATTTCATGCTCTCTTCCCCGCACAGGCTCCCCTACACTCGGACTCTAATCAACAAACGAAATATTAATATGGATCTTACTTGAAGTATGTATGTTAAAAGTAAAAAATACTTTCTTACAATAAACACATATATAGATTTAGAAATATATTTATAACGTCTTAATATAACCTCTAAATATAATTATATATATTTAATTAAGTTTACAATTGTATGTTGGCATTGCGTAAATATTTTCTATAATGACATAAAACATGTCATATGTATATTTAATGAAACATATATTTTTTTCTCGAGATCCACACAATTACAACATGTAAGGGTCGATCAATAAAAGGGTGAGTACAGATGAGCGTGAAAGATTGTCCACATGTTACCCCCACTAGTCTTAGCGACTATCTCGATGCATCAAATTAATAATCTAATGTCCTCTCCACTATATTTTCTAATACGTCAACACTCTACGGCTTGATTATGCTCTCAATAAGTTCATACAAATCCTCGAATATTATTTTATATCTATTTATAATTCTTATATTTAAGTATCTATAGAAAAAAATAAGATGAGAATAATTTTCTAGCTTTTATTGCAAAGTAATGCTATTAATATTTACATTAAAATGACAAGATTTATTGAGGCGATTATGAACGCGTGCCGTCTTCCTGATATTGACAACCGAATAAATTGTCAGATCAAAGCATGATACTTAGAAAAACATTGTACGGAGGGGGCGGGAACATCATGAGATGATCGGAAACGGATGTAACAACAGATAGGAAGCGATGCAGAGCAACACACGAGCCCACTTCCTGGAGGCAGCCTTCACTTATCACAGCAGGGTGCGCAGAAATTATCTTCATACTTCCGCTGAACGATACATATTGATACAACTATTCCTTATTTATATTGAAGAAGTAATTCAGTAGACAAATACAAAAATTTACTAACAAAATATTAATATTACAGAACTTACTATTTAAATAAAATACAACTTAATACTTGTTTTAAATAATTGAAGTGTCAAATACGATAAAAACATAATAATAACAATTGACTACAAACAATAACGTGGTGATAAGTATCTAAACAAGAATTGCAGTTTAAAACTGTGTTTAACCACAAAGTCGGTAATATGAAAGTATCAGGAAACACAACTCATTTATGAAAGTTAATAGTGGTGGTGTTGCGTGTTTTAGAAATTAATTTGTTTTTGAAACAGTTATTGTTAGGGTTCTCTGAAGTGTTTTAGTCTGTCTGTAACATAACATAATTTAAATGCAATTCTCTCCAAGTTCTGTTTATACCATACTGATATATTATATAAAAAACGGAATAATATTCACAATATTTAAACAAAAATTAACATCTAAATCAATTTTTATAGTTGTTTTTCAATATGTCATATTAATTGCGATTTCACTTTTGACGAGCAATCATACGGAACCCTGAATAGTTAACAAGTATTTGACATGATCGGTTTATTTCGGGTCTGCGGCTCCACTCTGGGCTGGGTGTAGTATAAACGACTTCTGTAATGAGTTCAGCTAACTACTAACGACATAGACAACCAATTTCGAACTGGATATACTTAACACGATAACATTGACGAAAATTGAAACTTGCAGTTTAATCGGTTCGCTTAAATTTATTATTTTATATAATATAAAAATATACACAAAGGATATAAACTCATCTATATTATATGTAACTAGTTTAGTTACTTATTTAGGTCCATTCCGGTTAATTCATTCACAAATTATTGATCACAAAAGATGCCGTCGTAATCGGTATAAACTTCCTTAAGTATTTCGCAAACGAATTCAAAGTCAACTCCATAACTCTCGAATGTATTTTTAAATTCAGAAAATTTTGCATTTCTTGACATCCTTTTTAAAATATCCTTGAATTCCGACGAGCTCACAATTTCAAACAGACCCTTAAATTCTGCATTATTTTCTAATTTATTTTTGAATAGAGTTTTCACATCTTCGATCGGTACAGAGCCCATAACTGCAGCTAGAAAGCCAGAAACCCCACTGTCATACCTTTCAATAGGCTGCGGTTTGAATGGAGGCAAATTTAAGTCTGAATTAATTGCATCAATCACGAATTTCATGTCGTAGCCTTTTTCTTCTAAAAACGCATAGGCCTAAAATAAAAAAAAATGAAAAATTATGACATGAAAAATTTAAAATAAATTAATTTCAATGTATTTATATACATATTTGATTAATGAACATTAATTTACTGCTCACTTACCTCTTGAAATTCATTCATATCTTCTATTTCCCAAATAATTTCTTTAAACTTGGGACTGATCAAAAAACCAACAAACCTCATTGCCTCTGAATCATTTATAAAGGTAATAAAGGTCCCTAATAATTTTCTCTGAATCTATGAGATTAGTAAAATCCTTAATATGATCAAGCCATACTGTCTCACTGTTTATATGCTCATCTTCTTGGAATAACTGATCTTTGAGATATAAAGGATCTAATGGCCCTTTTATAACTGTACTCAAAGAAGGGGATATAGCAAATAGAAATAATAATAAATTAATAAACATTATGAATGGATAACAGTATACAGAACAATAGTATAAAAATGATAATTTCTCGCTTAATATAAACTTAGCAGACATAAATTGCGAAATGTTTAAATTTGTTCCTAATCTATACATCATGATATTCACTACAAGATAACATATTAGGTTAAGCATGAACCATATGATAATCATTCGTGTTTATCAAAGGAACTTAATTTTAGTTTAAGTTCGTTTTATTAGTTAGGTAAAATAATTTAATTACAAAACGATTCTATTTCTTTATATAAAACATAATGCTTAGTTCAACTAAGTTGTTATAGCAATCAAAACCGATACACCTATCGCATCTTTATAGAAAGCAATTGCAAGTGGTTTTCAACCTGAGGGTATAATAACAATGATTGTCTCGGTGCTTAGGTCCGAGGTGGAGGGAAGGAGTTTCCAATTGTGTAATGAGTTCAATGAGCTGAACTGACAGACATGTGACGGCCGGCTGTCTCTCCGGCGCGGCCCAGCGGCTATCATTGCGAATAGACATTATTACATTACAAATAGTATATATAGAATATATACTAAGATTTATATTGAATTTAATATGTACCACTAATCCTTATTTAAACCAGTTTGTATTTATATTTTGATAAGTTTTGTCCCGTCTGTATCAAATGGCTTTGTGATTAGCTTCAAAATATATCCATAAAAAAATTGTTTGGATTCAAATAATAATTGGATTAAATTTTTTCACCGATATAATTATTCATGAAATACAAATAAATATAAAAAAATAAAAACTCTATAAAAATCATGTTTAATTATTATAGTATGTATTTATTCTTTACGTGACGGTATTGAAAATTTTAAAATTTCTCATGTCAGTACTTAAAATAACTATAAATTTAATATTATGGAAAAATAAAGACTGAAAAAGTATGAAACATATAGTCAGTTCCTGTATAAAAATTACAAAAGCTAAAAATACAAAGGCGAAACACAAATTAACTAGCAAGTTATCTAGATTAGTTTAATAGTTCCTAAGAAATTATCAGTACCGTCCACAAGCAACAGCGATATAAAGTTCAAATTGGCTTTTTATTTCTAGTGTAATGGAATTTAAATCGCTGCAAAGGATAGTTTTTCTTTAAAACAATTCCCGACTCGTTTGCTGCGAACTCTGTCTATAGTCACGACGGTTAATTATATTTATACATTATTCGTGTCTATCTAGAATCGTTAAAAGACAAGTGTTTGAAGCTGATTACCTTACTTGAAACTAAATGATAGCGAGACCGTTCCCTTATTAATGAAGTTACGATATATAATGTAACTGATCAGCAAAATATATTATAAGTAATCAATCAATGTATATATTAAATAAAATAATAACATACTAAACTAGATTTCTAGTCACATTTGAAATTATTAAACTTATTACAAGATAAATATATACCTAGTAAAGTTTATTCATTACCATATCGAAACTACGTATAACTTTTCCATATCCAAGAACCAAGTTTTATACTGTAAATGGAATTCAGAATGTTGATATTATTAGAACAACGTAACACGCTGTTTGTTCTCACAGATTGTGTATGGAAATGACAAGTCTATTAATAAGTAATTTATGACTTAAAACAGCAGCAGTCCTACAACAGATGAAGAGTCAGTGACATTTATCATAATTATGTATGAGGGTTCTATATCCATATATGTCAACAACTACTAGTAAAAAAACTGATACCAGTAAAAAAATTAAAGGTAAGGATTATTATCATTATAACACGCTAAAACTTTTGTGTTTTTCAGTCGTTATTAGTAATATATAGCAACAATATATATCATATTTGGCATATAAATAAGGCACATAATATTGTGGTGTCTAGATGAAGAGGCGAGGGGTAGGCTTCTGGTGCACGCGTATCGCAAACCAATGAGTCTGTAACGGGCGAAACATTCAAATTGCACCGCCCGCGCCTGCCCCTATCAAATGTTGTTTTATTTGCTAATTCCCAAATTCGGTTATGGCCTATAAACGATCCGCTGGAATAATTTAAATGCGAACCAGCCGGTATAATGCGAGTACTTTACTTGAAATAAGGGTATTTGTATGTGAAATGCGTTTTGAAATAGGATTATACGTCTCCTTTTATATCTGTAAATTTCGCGGAAACTCGAATTTGAATTCGATTTGAATGTAATTATTATATTTTTTTTAGATATTTAGACAAAAATAATCCGGTAATATTTTTTTATATTAAAGCACAAAGTAATGTATAAGTATGTATAAAAGAAACATGTCATACAAGATGACAAAAAATCACTTATAAGTAACATGTTAAATACATTAGTCAGTGACTAGGCTACTTAAACAGTTTTTAAACATTAAAATATAATAAACAGCTGGCTCCTAAAGGTTTTCTCTTGTTACCGGACTACATTTCCAGACAGACATTTCCTTTCATTCAATATGAGCGATTGTTTATTGGCCGGCTTCGCTTTGCGAGACAATTGAACAAAATTACTTACTTTTAACGGTACTACGTGTCGGTTCAATAAGAATTACCTGGCTTTCCTTTATCACGAATAAGTACAGATTGCCTGAGACTATAAAAAAAACCTACATACATATTTGTAATGTTATAAAAGGTTTCTTTTAAAAAACGACTATAATACATGAAAAAGTGTTTTTTAGAATAGTTGAGTACATTTTTTATTATCTATACGTATTGCAAAATAAAAACCTTACAAACTAATTTTCAAAAGAGTAATTATTTAACTAATATATATCTATTAGATAAGGAAAAGCTATTTTGCAATTGTAATCTATTTGGCGGATTATCAAAAGGTTCATATTATCTGTTCATAACCATCGGCATAACGGTGTCCCAATAGTTTGAAATTTAATCACGTCAAATACAATGCCACCCGTTTATGAAGTGGAATGACTAAACAGCTTTTTTTAATACGATTCACACGTTTTATAGTTAGTTAAGTTTTTGTATCCACAAATTTCACGGTGCGATGTATTGAAGTCTTATTATATGAAATGTGATGCCACATACCGGCCGCGGGGGGGGATGGAATCTATCATTGTTGATCAACGGATGAATATTCAATCATCTAGCTACTCCCAAATAGATACTCTATGTTTGTAAAAAAAGATACAATTCGTTCCACCGGTTAGTTGATATAGTTTACTTAACTAGACTTATTATCGAGATTTGTGTTCTAAAGATAAAACGAAAATCGACTAAGTGCGACAACAAATAAAGAATGCATCGAAAGCACCTTAATTATAAGGCACCTTTGAATTATCTTAAAAAATAAAGCACCCGTAGGAAAGTCCTGTGCCTTCATGAGTGTGCAAAGTGCATACAAAATCGTGATGTGGCCTTTTAAATCGTTTCCACGTTCGTTCCCGCCGCTAGTTTTTCTAATTTGAATTTATCCCCATCCGCCAATTTGAGTGCACAGGACGGCTGGGACTTCTAGGATTTAGTATCAAAGAAAAATGTGCCATAGGACCTTGGCATAGGAGCTACAACAAATGAACAAACTAATTTAGTAAGAGAACAGCTCGCAACCAATGCTGAGGTAATAAGATAAAGAGGGCGGACGCATTTTGTTTCAAGCTCACTCCAATTTACCATGACCTAGGGACCATTAGCATATGGCCTGGAGGTGGCAAGCGTGATGCGCGGTTTCCCGGCGCCTTGGCCGCCATGACACCGACCCACCGACTACTGCGCCCGCGCAATCACTACCCCACGGTGTAATTGCGTTCGCGACACATTTGTTTACTATTCCGAACCGTGAAGATGCATAGTACGAGATTACAGCGACACTCAGACCTAAGTCTCAAATTAGCGAGCTAAAACGCCCACTATGATTTCTCATTTTACGATGTCTTTGGGTAAATCACGGAGGTAATTGTCCAATTAAGGGTTGGATTACTTTTATTCGTTTGTCTTCTTTAATTGAACATTATTTAATACGAATAACGCTACATACATTGGTAATGGTATGAATCAATAATTTTATCAGTTTTATGATCATTAATTAGGGGGCTGAATAGATCAGAAACGATGGGTACTTATAGTAATATAAAGTAATAAAATTAAAAAAGGAAACAAGTTTTTACGTACACGATATATAGGTGCGCCATATCTACGAGGCAACGAAAACTAGGGCCTGTGTTGCTTATATTTTTTTTAACTGTAATGACGCTTCATTGTTTGATTATATATTAAAAAGTTATAATCAAAATCAATTTATACTCATATGTCATTATAAAAGTAAACTTTTTTTTACCAAAGTATCTAAACCTAAAGCGTACAATTTAATAAGTTCATGAAACATATACTAAACGCTACATTTTGGATTGTTATATTTCCACAAACGGAATCCACACGAATAAATTTTTTTACGTATTTATTTAATAAAAAATCTATGAATAATTAATCAATTATGAAAGCAGTAGAAACAACGCCTGACTATCTCTCTGAGTAGCGGTCGCACGCGCCGGGCTCTTGCAGGTCGTCATGAGAATGTAGACATCTCAAGTGATTTCCTACTTTTAGATAAGGTAATGAACTGCAAAACGACCCACTCTAACGGAAAAAACGAAACCGAATAAAAATATTTGTATCCTTAGTGCCTTATATGCCACAAGCATTTCTGAAAATCATACGATCGCGAATAGCAAAGCAAGTTGTATCACATATATTTTTGCCCAATACAGAGAGTCTCGCCACTAACGATGAATGCAGAGAGGATTTTAGATGTCACTAATGTGTTTCTCGCAATACATACATTAATGTATCACGATCGTTTTTGCATAACTATGTATAGATGTGTTTTAGATAGCAATGATTGTATTTCCAAATCACATATAAATAAAAATATTACGTTATATATACTTACCAGAGCTCCTATGATAAGTTACTTTTTCAGGTCATTAGCCAAACCTTTATATATTCAAAATATTGCCTGATTATTATGTCCTTACAATATTTGTAATTTTGTTTGAACCGAACGAAATCCTGCATACGAATAATTTAACAAGTTTTTAATTCATGAAATACCATTTGTTTTTTTTATAGAAAAACGTTAATTATCCTAAACGTGTAACTATCACTCATATATATGAATGTTATTTTACATTCATGAATGAATACGAATGAAATATTAAATACAGTTCACAAATTCAACACAAACACAAAAGCTATTATTAGAGAAAAAACAATAAAACATCGAAACGTGATCTTTATATTTTTGAACATTCCTTTTACGTTTAAAAAGCATACATTAAAGAAGAAATACTTTTTAATTAAATAAAGCCATTTAAAGCACACAGTCTAATCAAGTACAAAATGGGGATATTGGAAATGCGATTTGCTATCGCAGCTGATTCGATACTATCGAGAAATTATAAAATCAGCACATTCACAGTTTTATCATGTTTGTCATCAAGTCATGTGACATGAATATTTTTAAATCTATGCCTAGCATGAATCATAGAGAAATATAAGTTCCTGTTGT